AATGAAAACAAGTTTATGATGTCTTTAGTTTTTGCCAAGTTACCATTTGAAATTTTTTAACAAAAATATTCAAATGCTTATAACTTCTTCAGGAGTTGAAATAAAAATTTTTAAAAAATTGTGAAAACTACTCTAAATAATACCAAAAAATCAAGAAAATTAAAAATGATCACAAAGATGCACATTATAAATTATTAAAATTATTTATTGTTACCTACTTACAAAACACCAACTAATTTTGGTGTTGACAATTAATATCCTTTCAAAATATCAAATATTAGAAACCTAATATATTTTTTTGGTCCATGATTGATATCTTCGTCTGAAATGTATCAACGGTTTAAAATATCACGAATATTTTTCACGGTTGATCCACCGCGTTTGTAAAATAATACAGTAAATACTTTCATCGTTCTAATTAAAATATTTTTCAGATTATGTACGAGCTGTTAATGTCACTCTTCAAGGACGAAAAATCACCACTAGAAAGTATTGTCCACTCCCTCACTAAACCACATAAATAATTAGTTATTGTGAAACTAATAATTGCACACATTTGATGTATCTTAAATAGGAGTGTAATTTCAAATAACTATGTATGCAAACTCTCATTTATAATTTTAAAATTAAAGTTATTCTATTTTGAAAATTATGTGACAATTTTTATTATCATACCTATATTTAAATTACAAGGTGTGTACAAAAATGAGGGGTGTTTTCCTCATTGCCCTTGAAGTTCTCTGTTTGAGATACAAAGTGTGTCAAAAAAGAGCGTCACATTATTGATCGGCACACAGGAAAAAAGTGTTTTGAGGTACAGGAACTAGGAAGGAAGCAGGAAACATATTGTGTAAAATCCATTAAATATGTACATCTTTATACATTTTTTATTTATACTAAAAGTTATGCAAAAAAGTTAAGAGAATGTTTAAAATAAAATTTTCTGAAGCTTCTCGATAGCATGAAGTGGAATTTTTCCAAGCAACTTGTAGATGGCGCTAATGACAACAGAACTTTTTCGATGGCATAATCTTTGGAAAGTAGTTTAATTGTGAGAAAATTATGTCCAAGTGATGAAGGGAAGTAATAGGAAGTCAAAATAAATTTGGTATAACTTTCAAAGTTTTAGCTATCGAAAAACTTCTTTCGAGATCATCGCCATCTACAACCTGCTTTAGAAAAATTTCACTTAGGATCTTAATTGACTCAATTTAATTGAGGATCTTCTATGATCTGACTTTTACAGAATCAAATATCCTCTTTCTGTTTTCAAGTTGTATGGCCGAATTTTTTGTGAATCACTTTGTAGCTTTTTGATTAAAAGAACCTTATTTTCTTCCTTTCATCCTCATCTCCTAAATGAAAATATAGTTTCTTTGATCATCTATAACTTTTATTTGCACAGTTTTTTTTTGTTTCGAATATCTCATAGCTAATTGTATTTTGCCACATTATTGCCACCTCATTGTCGTATCCTTAAGTAGTTGATGTTCCTTTAAATTTGTCTATTTGAATTGTGTCGTTTAGAAATATATACAGGGTGGCTAAATGAAAACGAAACAGACCTATTTTCAGGAACTGCGTCAAGATTGTAGAAAAACGCTCAGACCCGTCGATTTTAGATTAAAGGAGGACATTCTCTGCTGGTATTTTTGATTCCGCCACTTTCACCTCCAAGCAAGGGTAAGCATCACCCCAAAATATTTAAATGGAAATGGGGGTTGAGTAATATTTCTTTTGAAAGCTCTTACAATTCTCTTCACAATAGACTTTAAATTTTATAATTCCGCCCAATACTTATTAAGAATTTTAATTTTAAAGTTGAAACTTATGTATAAACAATTAGTAACGGTAAAAATGTCAGTCATTCGAGTTAAATACGCCAATGGTATAAATTTAGTATTTCTTGCGTTACATTGGTTTTTGGCGATTTGTTATCACTTTCGTAAAAAAAAACACAATTGTAAAAAACAGAAATGAATGCTATACACACACAATGAACGTAAAATTAGTGGATTCCAAATTATTTTCTAGTATTATTTGGAAGCGTTGGTTGGTAGTTTATTTAATTGTGTTTTTGAAAATTAAACACTATGGTTTATTCCATTGCGGAAAGGGTAGATATCATTTCGCTTTACTTTATGAACAATAAATGTGCGAATAGAACAGCTCAGCTATTTAATGAACAACATCAAGATCGACATGTCAGGAGGAAGTATGTTCTAGAGTTAGTAAAAAAATTTCAAGAGACAGGGAACGTAGCCAATAAAAAACGAGAAATTGAAAAACCTATAGTTAATGAAGCTAGTGAAGTTGCAGTTTTGGGACAAGTTCATCTTGATCCTACATTAAGTACGAGGCAGCTGGCATCTGTGTCTGGGATCAATCGAACTAGCATACAAACCATTTTGAAGAAGAATAAATTCCATCCCTACAAAATACATTTAGTCCAGGAACTTCATGAGGATGATTATGACCGCCGTTTGCAATTTTGGGAAAAATTGAGTGAGGGAGCAGGAAACGATCCACTGTTCCTTTTTAACATCTGTCTTTCTGATGAATTCAGTTTTTTCTTGAACGGGACGGTAAATCGTCACAATTACCGCTATTGGTCCGATTCAAACACAAGAGTTTTTCACGAGGTGCATACACAGCAACCGGAAAAATTAATTATATGGGCTGGAATTTTCGGTGACCGGCTGGTGGGTCCTTTTTTTCTACCTGGTAATTTGACTGGCCAAATGTAATTACTGGAAGACGCTATTGCTGCCTTGACTGATATTATTGAAAATGTTCCAGTGTATGATGAAGATCATTTGATTTTTCAACAGGACGGTGCTCCTCCGCATTATGCGTTAATTGTCCGTCAGTATTT